GAAACCACCTGGGTGAATTATAGCGACCTCACACGACCTCACCCCAAATGGTAGTTTATGTGGGGAATAGCCCCCCAGCCACCTTATTTCAGGTTGGTGAAATATTATAATTCACCCACAAACTACCCAAGGGTGCCTCATTTCCCTCATAGGACCTCATGGAGCTGTTCTGCGCTCGACAGCGGAGAAAGTTCAGCCGCGGCATCAAGCGTGCGCCCGGGGTCCCCAGCGGGGCGAAGCTTCGTCTTGCTGTTCCATGGTTGTTGTTGGGAAACATGTTTTTACATTTTGCAGATTGTGGTTTAGTGGTTGAAATCCAACCACTTAACTGCTAAAATTTGCATCTTCCCCTTCCAACGTCAACCAAGGTTCAGGGAATGAGGGAAGGACCCCTTTGGACAGACAGAGCCCAGCATCGGCTGGAATGGATGAAGCCCTATGAATACTGGGACAAGCCACCCAACCAACTGGTGCAGGATTGTGGCCCACTAAAAACAACAACATCCCTTGTGGTTTCTTAAGAGATGCCTAAGTTTCTTCCCAGAAACCTTGTGATTCCCTTCTGAGAACCAGCAAGTCGCGTGAGGTTCGGTCAAAACCCTCAATGTTTATTGGCCATGGGAGCTCGCTGTTGACATGTGCCACAACACCAAGGGGATAAGACACCTTGTACCATGTTCTTTGCGTTAAGCGCATATTTTGGCCAGAGCTCATATACACTGCGACTCGCTACTTGCTCCATGTTTTGTACGGGAACTCTCATATTTTGAGGCTCATGTTGGTTCCTTTCTGTTGAGGGTGGCACTTGTTCGGATCCTTTTGAAGGGAAACCAAAGGAAGACAGGGTTGTCCCCAACTGGAACATGGAGCTCTGTTTCAAGCAACCCAACAACTGTAGAGAGAGTGTTCACAATCTCCGAGAAGGGTGGGGCCATGCGGCGCCCCGCTTCAGGCCAATCACGGTCCTCAAGAAGTTGCGCAAGGCCCTGTCCCGGATCTCGCGGTAGTGGTGCGATATTTACTGAAACAACCAGACCCATTAGGAGCCTCAATTGAGGAGCGCCCAATGGTTTCATTGGCCATGTTTGTAGGTGGTTCTATCACCGGCATAACAAAGCAATATGGATGTGGGTCAAAAATATGTACCCAAAATGGAATCCTGGCAAATGGGAACATGGACTAAAACCTGCGGTCCCCTGGTGGTTTAATTTTGACCCACACCCATAGTATAAATATATATATATATATACATTGATGAACATGTTAAAGTCAGCGGGTGTTGGGTGCAGCTCAACTATAGACGAGGATGCTTCAGCAATGGGTTTCATGTTGGCCCAACCCTGGAGTCATTCACGCAATGATAGTGCAGGGACATGATCTATTCGTTCCTGCAAGTACATGTGTTGTCGCTTGTTTCGTCCAAAAAGCAGTTGCAGTAACGTTTGCAGATGAACTGGACTGAGTTGTCATGGGGCATTCCCAGCTTGGGGAAGGTCCACTATTGTCATCTCACCACACCATGGAACCATTGCTTTAGTAACACTCTTGCGCACACCATTTGGCACATGGGAAGCCACTCCTTAACCACCAAACTACCAATCCACACCAATTTGGTGGGAAGCTGATTCCATCCGGGTTTGGCTCAAAATTCAAAAGCCAGGGTTGCGCAGGAATTAGTCTCCGTATACATTTACCAAGGGCCCACCTTTTTTTCCCAACAGCTGCAAGCTAAGGGGTCTCAGCCCAGATAAGGGTTGAGGGTGGTCTGGAGCAGGCCAGGTCTTAGGTTCACGGAAGGTTCCAGGGATGCATGCGCTGTTGGGGATATCACCTGAGCTTATTGGGTATGGCTCAAATTAATTCACCAGGATATGGACCGCAGGTTTTAGTCCATGTTTCCATTTACCAGGATTCCATTTTGGGTACATACTGTGGATTACCCTGTAAATACCAACAAACACATGGTTTCCCATGTTTCTAAGTGCAGGATTTCGTCCATCCACAGTATTTTTGACCCCACACCTCTAGGGCTACCTTCCATTTCCACTCTTTCCAGGGCTCCGAAAATCTTTTCAGGAAGCCATCAAAGGCCCAGCGGGGACGGATCCGGCTTGACAGCGGATCCGGTGCACCACCCATTGAAGTCGATTTTAGTGGTTGGATTTGGGATGTTCACTGGGGGCTAACCGATTTGGATTTTGACCCCTGGCCATCTCGTGGGAGCCCCAAAGACGCGGTCTCGGCGCGGTCTCGCGCACCGCGTAGGCCAAGCGCGAGACCGCGTACGGCGAGAAGCCGGAGGCTGTGAAGACGCACCTGCGGAACATGGTCATCGTGCCCCTCGGGCCGCGTCCTTTTTTTTTGTGCCGTGGGTCAAAAATAGGTACCCAAAATGAAACCCTGGTAAATGGAACCAAGGACTAACACCTGCGGTCGCCTGCTGGTGGTTTAATTTTGACCCACACCCATATGGTTGTTTGTTTGCTCCTTTTTGCCTTTTTTTGAAGGGGCACCAAATGGGGGCACGTTGTTTTTGTTACTTCTTCTTTTTTGGGGGGTACCCGTTTTTGGGGTTGGTTTCCAGTTGTTGTTTTCCTTTTTTTTTTTCTGAGGGCTCTAAACTTTCCCAGAATGAGTTCCCCTTTCCATTTGTTTGCTTTTTTAGGGTTCCCTTTGTTTTCCACTAACCAGGCAAAACATGTTTTTTGCTGGGGTCCTAATTCCAGCCGAGTAAATGGGGGCAAGTCTTTTTTAGCGGGTACCCTCAAACAATGTGGACCTCGGATACATCCGGAGGACCGTGCTAGCCAGGGGTGGAAAACCGCTTGTTGAAGGGAAATGAACGAGTAATTCGAGGTTGACATTAGCTGATAAGTTCTAAACTTGCCACAAGGAAACCACGGGGTACTGGTGGTTCTTTGTTTTCCGGACCTCTATTTGATATCCAGTGAGAGGGGGATCAAAAAGCACTGGCAGCGCATTGACGAGCAACTGACACATTGACTGCTTATTAGTGTTTTTGGGGGGAACCCTTACTTGTTATTTGGACGGGGGCTTGCCTTCTTTGAGTTGGTTTTTGAAGGAAGCCTAAAGGAAACCTAGCTAACCATTTTGCGGGCTCTGCATTGAAGCAAAGCCACATTCGGTCACGCGGTCCAGGCAAATGTGGAGCCACATCGGTGGTCAAAAGGGAAACCAAAAGGGAGCCTGTGATTTAAGGCGTTTGTATACTGGGGCTCCCTTTTTCGTGGAAAGGTTCCCCTACTAAAATGGACAGAAAAAAGTTGGTACAAACTTATTCTAACCTCTCTACTGGAGGACCTAGAGCTGAGACATGCCTACATAATATCCTTAAGGTCCGGGATCCCAAACGCTCAGGCCTAAAGGGTTGGCACTTGCGCCTTCAAGAAAGCAGGTTCTGAAACAGATCCGAAAGCCAGGCACTCCCCTCACATTGCAGCGGGATGTTTAATTGAATCGCAGAGGCAATTTACAGGACTTGGACGCTTGATTTGGTAAATCCTGCGGTGTATCCCTGCAAAGAATGGGGAAGGTAGCCCTAGAATATTCCGCAGTTGCTTTTCTAGGCTCCCCATGTTCAGCTCTGTTGTGTGGTGATTCTTCTGCCATTGGCTGTTTGGGACAGCCTGAAACAGGACTGCCTGACGCATTCCCCTGTTCGGATGTCGACCAACGGGTCCTTGCAGCATGCCACGTAGACGTGGTTTTATTTATTATTTCTTTAGAACATATAAGGAGCCGTGCTTGTTGCCGTTTTGTGGCATGGTCCATTCTCGCATTGCCAGAACGTCCACATACTCCAGCAAGGACTTAAATGTGAAGTCGTCAAGTTTGAGGCAGAGAGGCGACACCGCGCTTCGACTGGCTTGGTATCTAAGGCCAGAGATGATTGGCCGCTTTGATGATTTCTCCGTGTCAGCACGGGCGTTCTTTCCAATGCCACTGCCGTGCGGCGATCTTTGAGTCTTAAGGAAGCGTCGTGGGTGTGTACAACGGCAAGCAGTACATCACGGTGGAGATCAAGCCAGTCCTTCCCTGAGAGGTTTGAAGTTCCGAGCGAAGTCTCTAAGGCGCAGCTTGCAATCACAGGGCCGAGCACCTGGTTTGGCCCAGGAGATGATTGGCCACTACCTGGGTGAGTTCTCTATCACCTACAAGCCCATCAAGCACGGCCGTGCGGGCATGATGGGCAAGAACTCCCAGTTCGTGCCGCTGAAGTGAGAGCTGATGTCGAGGGATTGCAGGGAGACAAAGCTGGGCGCGCCACCAGGGATTGCACAGCCACCAGACATTGAGAGAGGGTGTTCAGCAGAGTAATGTTGACCCCATATTAATCAACCCCTGTTTCTTAATATGGGGGTGTTCCCCTCCAAAAGTGATAAATCCCCAATAAAACCAGGGACCCCCCATACTGAAAACAGGGGTTTTGTGGATCCGGGGTCAACATTAAGGTCAAGCGTGCTGAAAGACTGTGGAACCAGGGCTTCTCAAGCCCTCCAGGGCAACGATCTTTGGGACGGTTCTCGCTAGTTCCAGGTGTAAAGGCTTCATGATGCATGGGTTGATGCCTGAGGCTCAAGTCAGGCGCATTTGTGATGCTTCTTTCCTTGAGTTGGAGTCCGGGTTGCTTTTTTTTTCTTTTTTCTGAGGGTTGCCTTTCTGGGATCCGTTTGAGAGCAAACCAAAGGGTAGCTATGTCGGGGCGTTCCGTTTCCCAGTTGGAGAACGCCAGGTAGAGCTGTCGCGCTCTGAGCTTGGGCTTTTGCAACTGGTGTCTCTCCTAGGATCCAACCCCCAGATGCCACGCTTGAAATCGTTGAGTTCCTTTCGGTTTGCGCAGCACATGTCCTTTTCGTCTTTTCTTGGTTTCTTGGTTTCCCATGCCCATCCTCCTAGAAGCTTTTTTGGGTCCCATGTCGCCCCAAAAGTGGATGCGGCCTCCGTCCATTTTTTGTCGGCGCTGCGCGTTTTTGGCTGAG